TTTGGTCCCGCCTTCACTGTTGTGATTGGTGTGGGGGTAGGGACAGGCTTAGGGCGTCGGGGGGTTCCCCGGAGGCATCTTCCTTGGGGGGCTCAACCCGGGGTAGCGGTCATGTCCGGTTAGGGGCTCTGTTGGCTCTCAGGTGACTGTTTCCTCGCGGCTGCGTGCAGCGGGGCTAGGGGAGGGTCTGTGCTGACGGACGTGGGTTACTGACCTGGTAGCCTGGCTGCCCCTGGGTGGGTCCGGGATGGGCGTGAGGTTCTGGGGGCGCTCCGTCTCTGGGCTGGGCCCTGGCCGGGCCTCGGGGGCTTGGGTCCTGGTTGGTGTGTTGCCGGGGTTGTGGGCGGGTGGGTGCATGGGGGCCCAGCCCTGGAGCAGGGTGCCGCCGGTGCATCGAGCCACCTGGGGGGCTCTTCAACTGGTGGGGGAGATTGTCACATCTTGCAGGAGCTTTCCCTCTCCTCAGGAGCTCTCTCTGCAGGAGGGGGAGATACAGGAGAGGTGGAGGAAGATCTCAGCCTGGGTGTTTATTGTCTTATGTAGTCTGGAAGATGAGTGGATGGTGGGGTGGGTGCAGTTTTCTCTGTGGTGGGGTTGGGTGGACTGTCCCGGGCTCTGTGGGGCCGGGAGGCGCTGCTGCACTGGGCCCCGGTCTGGATGGGCCTGGGCCCCCTTTCCCTGGCGGGTCGCGGAGTATGGGGGTGCCTACTGGGGTCAGCGGGGGAGCTGGCCCCAGGGAGGGGTCACTTGCCCCTCCCCATCTCCAGCTGCCTCCCTCTTCCCGCTCCACCACAACCACCCACACATGCAGGGCCTTGGAGTAGGGGTATGTCACCAGGGTGCAGAGGAGGCTACCCCCCCTCTGTCCCCTTCTGGCTGCCTCTGCCTCAATTTTATCCCACAACTTAGACATTCACATTACTCACACTCTCATTACACATACATATAGGATCTTGGGGGTGGGCACGATACACGGAGTCCAAAGTTACCATCAGGGTGTACACCTCACCCCTGGCGTCGTTGCCCACCTCTCAATTTTAAATACACGTAGACATTGAGGGCTAGCAGGAGGGACTATGCGCTTACCTGCTGCTCTCTGGCAGGTAGCTCCATGCCCTCCTGGGTTTTAAATGCACCTTAGAACACACATGCATCAACACTACAATGAGCGGGTGGAGGGAGGTTTGGAGTCTTCTCTCACCCCCGTTCTCTGCGACCTGCTGGAGCGGGGGGGCTAGGAGGAGGAGTTGGCCGTCCGACTGCGGTCTGGAGTGTGGGGCCTCCCTGCTGCTGCGGAGTCGGGGCGGTCTGCCTCCCCCCACCGCAGGGAAAAGGGTAACACCACCTGGGTCTGGGTGCAGTTCCCCCCTCCAGGGGCAAGGGTACCTAGACCCGGTTTGTAGAGTACGCTTGGGGAGTGTGATCGTGTGTACAGCGTCTCTTTATGTCTGTCTCCACGTTGGTTGAGTGTGGAGTAAGTGCATATGAGAGCATGAGGGTGGGAATGGATGTTTGTGTCTGTGTGTGCCTGTATGTCTGTGTCTATATGTCAGGTTGGGTATCAGACGCCACCTCTCTGGGGACATCTCAGGCCCTCCAAGGTTTGGAGGCCTATCTCCACCCACCACCACTTCCCCTGCCAGTGGCGGACTCCCTCAGGTGTCGGTGCGTTGGTGGTTCTTTGTGTCGGGGATGGGCGTCCAGGTACACACCGGCTCACTCCTTGGCGGCCGCTTATCGGGGCCTGGAGCCTGGGGCTCGCTCGGGCCACTTCGGAGGTGGGGTGCCCCCGGCCTCTCGGCCTGGGGCTCGGTCACTCAGGCACGGCTGGCTGCCGGCGGAGCTCACGGGCGCGTCACTGCAACTCCCCCTGGCTTCTGCTCCGCGGCTGCTGAGTGAGCCCTCATCTGGGACTCTCCTCAGCTCTTTCTGGGACAGTGGCGCGGCTGCCCCTCTGTTGGTCTTCCTTGGTCTCTTGTGTTCTGGGGGCCTCTGGATGTCTGGAGTTTTGATCTCCTCCATACCTGCTTCATACCCTGGAGGACGGGGCTGTGGCCCCCCCACACCCTCTAGCAGATCATTACATGAAGGAACCTTTTAAAAAAACAAGGCGTCCATGCTCACAGGTGTACACACGGGTGATCACACCCACAAACTACACCCTTTTTGGCTCCTACCTCAAAGCACACTGTGTTCTGTTGATCTTATGTGCTGCACAATAATGTTTAATATTTAGTATTTACTGTCATATTCCCATATATCATTGTGATGTTGTTTATTCTATTACTCTTGTTTCTTCTGCTTGTTTTCTTTTTTCTTTCTCAACAGGTGATCCAGGTGATTGATATATGCATTTTTTTTCTCTGCTTCATTCTGTTGGTTTTTGTTTTTTGCCCTTCTCCCCCGTCCCTCTTCTCAGCTGTTTTCTTTCCCTCTTTCTTTCTCCCCTTCTTTCCCCCAGTCAAGTCTGTCCCGTATTCAGCAAGTGAAAATAAAATAAACAATAAAAGGTGAATCAAATGGACCATTACGGCAAGGCTGGGATGGTCAATTTGGTAAAGTAAATCCGTTGGGCATCTTTCTTTGCCTTTAGACAACAATTCTGATGGCAAAAGAGCCAAACGGGACAGGCAGAAAAAAAAAGAAAGAGGAAAAAAAAGAAAAAAAAAAGAAAAAAAATTGAGCAAGTGTGTTACCAAACAAGACACCTTAATAGATAGCCCATGACTATCTGGTACTGGGGCTTGCTGAACTTTGGCCCTTGTGGGACATGATTGTCGCGGTTGGAGGATAACCTGTGCTATACGCTCCCCACTCGTCTTTACTGTTTTTAAGTCTCTCTTTTTTCCTCTTCCTTCTTCAATTTATCTCTTTATCACTTCTTCTCTCTTTTGCTAACCTGGCCCTCACCCCCTGTCAGCTCTGGGTGTGAGGGAACCTCATGATCCTTTATATTTCATAAATATGTGACACACCAGGCAGTTTTTCAGCCAGTAAGCCCCAGGAGTTTGCATGAGTTAGCTGATGTCGTCCCAACTGTTTTGCTATGTTACATAGCTATGAATTCTGCCTGGTTACCAGGCAGAGCAGTATTAACTTACATAAACCAGAAAAAAGCCAATATGGGGTCAGCGTCAAAACCAAACAAAGGTCCGTCAATGGATCGAATTCCCTGATTCTTAAGATTTAATTATGTCTGTCAGTGGTGTACTAAGGGCTGTGCTCTGGTCTTAGATGACAGTCACTGGAATATAGTGCAGTGGGTACTAAACTGAATGTGTGACTGTGTACATTTACCACCTGCACAAACATTTTTCCAGAGTCAGTTAATAAGTTGTATGTTTTTCTATGTAAAGTTTAGAGTTCATCAACACTTCTTTTACCCAACCCTTTCTTTTTTTTGTGACCTGTAGTTTTCTCTAAATTTATAGCTGAGTGACTGTTATTTGTGAACGTGTTTGTCCTGGTGGTTTAATCCAGGCAAAAGGATAAACAAAATAGAGACTAAAATGTAATATATAAAAATAGTTATCTTCACAGTAACTTGGTGATTAATTTTCTATGCTGGTGCTGGAACTGAATGGGCCAACTGAAGGTCAGTGAGATTGCTAGGAGATGATTGATGAGCAGCAGGCTGATACCACTACAAAACAGTGTTAAGAACAAGTCTCTTGTATAGTGTGTGTCTTCCAGAGTGTTAGCAGACCACATTTATTCAAAAATTAAGCTAGATAGTCATTTGACACTCAACCTAGGATAGAAACCTTGAGAAAATATAGATATCGCTAGCTCCGGGACGTCGGGCTAGCGATTTTGCGAGCCCTGTATAGTATATTTAAACATTTTAATAACTTGTCTTTATTGTCACTGCTTTTTGTATTAATGAGTGCTAATCCCAGGATATAATCAGTATTTATTAATTCCTTGCCAAGGGCTTAAACAGCAGAGACTCTGGTTATGAATTCTCCATGGTCCCTTTAACTCTGGGAATGTGACCTTGTCTGGTTTCTCTTTTCTCCCTCTTGAGCTCTTGGCAGATCTGAAATTTACCTCTTAGAAAAAGTACTTTTAAAGCTCACTGTGGATTCTGATTAATTCCCACGCTGACTTATATATAATAATTAAAATAATTTCTAACAGTCTACCCTTTATTGATTGTAACAAATCATAAATCATTCCCAGGAGCTTGCATGGTTGGCTGATGTTATCCACATTGGCTCAAGAGTTGTGTAAAAGACCATTTTTGATCTTGGAAATCGGTGGTCCGAAATGTAACAATCCAGCCTCCCCTCTAGTTTGCTTGTTGGTCAACTTGGATGACATCACTACTGAGATGAATAAGATTGTACTCATGAACTGGAAAAATAAAAATAATCTTAATTCTAACCAATATAGAGACTGTCAGATAGATCATATTAGTTTTGAATACAGCCTCTTCCACCACTATAGATCAATCCTTCTGGGCTCCTTTAGTCGGCTCCATCACCTTGTGGGGATGGGGGGGGGGTTCCGCTTTCATTACTGTGGTTGATGCGGGGGTAGGTACGGGCTTGGGGTGTCTGGGGATTCTCTAGGGACAGATTTCTTGGGGGGCTCAACCTCGGGCTGTGTTCATGACCTGGATGGGGCTCTGGTGGCTCTTGGATGGTGTTTTTCTGGCGGCTGCCTGGAGGGTCTGTTTTGGCGGACGTAGGACACTGGCCTGGTAGCCTAGCTGCCCCAGGGTGGGTCTGGGGCAAGCTTGGAGACTTGGGGTTCTGGGGGTGCTCTGCCTCTCTGCTGGGACTCTGATAACAAAAGGTTATCAAAAATAAAACAGGAAATAGGCATGGGAAACTAAACGGGGGCAAAGCCGAAAACACCGGGTCAACGACCCAAATTCCCTGACACACCGAGGGGATCTGGTTAATTAAAGCTCAAGTTACCAGTTGTTTTACTTGTTAAATAGGATATTTGTATTAATCTTTCCACTATTTATTCACAAATATTTTTGTCTGCAGCACTGACTTCCAGAAGAATAACCCTGTGCACAAACTAACAGAAGAAGAACTCCTGGCCTTCACGTCTGTAAGTCATTGTTTACTTTTTTTATGACCAGCATTGTAAGTTTTCCCTGTAATATTAAAGAGAAATGACTTTGGTAGTATGCCTTGCCTTTTTTAACCCAGCCGACACATACACTCCTCTGATTAACAGTGAAACTTAGAATTAACAAAATGAAAAATAATGCAGCAATGTATAAATCACTATTTGGGCCTCATTCATCTTGCTTATACAGGCAATAAATAAGATATGTACAACCAGACTTGCAGTTAGATTGGTAAACATCCTAAATGTAAGTTTTTCAGCAGAGTGCTGAAAATATCGTCGTACCAGCAAATTGAAGTGGACATACAAACATAAGCCACAATACAAAAATGATGAAATGGCTCACCCAAAGGTGAGCAGTAAGAAAGCTGAGCTCATGTTGAGGGAAACATAACCATAAGTCTTTAGGGACACTCCCAAAAACAACCAGTGATTTTTATGAAGGCAATTCCTGAAAACTTTAATGGAACTTTTTGTAGTGGCAGACAAACTGTAGTGGGACCACTACAGTTTTTACACGATTTTATCTTTATGATGATGTTAGTTGGAAGATATAATTACACACTAATCAATGTATATTTATGAGTACAACATAATTGTTTAATTAAATAACCTAAAAATCCCTTTTTAAATAAAGCTGTATTTGAGATGAATATTGTCACCATAATTCACTCTGGAGAGCATGCACGTCTTCAAAACTTCAAACCTTAGCTTTGCTGTAATTATTTGGTTAGCCACTAGGATGCACTTTAAATTTGTACTTGGCAAAAAGAAGCAACAAATACTGTACTGGTGGGATTATTGAATAGTTCAGTGTGTCCTACTAGTTGTTCTGGCTTGCTTAAGCCTGATAATAACGCTTTTGTTTCCTTTTCATGAGGTCTTGGAACACATTCGATTTGATTGTTAAAATGACACATTGTCACATTCTCACCACTGGTCCTAATATAATGATTCAGTCTTTGTCACTATGGCTGTAAATTAACACAGCACTGTTAATTACACTTAGGATATGAGTGGTTGTAACTTTTTGAGCTCATGATATGTAAAACTTTGTTTTGCAAAGAAAGTAAATTGGAAATACTAGAAAGAAGAGTATGTGGCAGTCAAAGTCAGATCAGAACAGCTGCTCTGTATTTCTTTGAAAAATGTTAATTACTTTGTCCTGTACCTACATTTTTAATCCTGGTGCATTACCTGAAATCCTAACAAGATAAGGCAATATGCAAGTCTGCGTGTCCATGTTTATTGGTGCTATCCAATTGGAAACAAATATATTTGTGGGTACATTTGTACTATGCCAGTGGTTATTCTCTGTTCATCACTTTTCTTTGAAGTTGAACAGTAGTTATTATGAAGCCAGCTGTGTATACAAAATAAGATGGCGGCATATCTGTGTCTCACTGCGTTGGCTGGAAATGCTGCTGCAAGCAGCTGCTGGCTCTGTGGGCAGGCATCTTCCCAGCCTACATGTAGATCCAGGAATCTGCAGGCTGGTTAGATGGTTGTCACATGTCTGGCTGTCTTCGTCGATACCTGAATCCTATCACCTTACTACAAGAACATCTCTCAGCACTGCTAATGTGTCAGTTATTACAGGAGCTTTTCGCCCATGATTTGAGTGTAACAGGGAATATTACAGGCACTAATAATAAGCTGCACAAAAATCAACCGAGTTGTTTCATCTCTGCAGTGAAACTTTGAATTCATTCTAGAGAGAAGCTTATGAGACTTTGGCAGATTGTGTAGGGTTCAGGCAGCAGTATCACAGGGATTGATGATGCACCTCAGCAAACTACCAGCTGCTGGAAACCCAACAAAGAGGATTTAAGGATCTGACTTGTGTCTAGGTTCCAGTTAGGACCATTATATCTATATCCCTTTCATCTCTGCAAACATGCTTCCTCACAGATCTCTCTGTCTGATCTCTATTTCTGCACCACTCGTACATCAGGACACTGCATAGTAAATATGTCATTGTTTTTTTTTTTATTGTTTTTTTAAGAAAAACAATGATCTTCAAAAACAAAAAGAGACCGTAAATGTAGCAATGTGAATTTATTTATTGCCCTGGCTTTTATTCAATAAATCTGTTAATTTTGGAGAACTGTACCAAAGCACGTGTACGGTAGGTGAAAAGGCTCTGCCCTACCATCCGAACAGAAATCTTTATGCAGATCGATACGTTTGCAGGACATGAATTATGCTGGAAGAAGGGTAAATTGGCCTGACTCCCTTTGCAACTGAAGAAGGTGAAAGCCTGGCCCACAATAAGAGTTCATGGTATTCTGCAGTTAATGAATAAAATGAATAAATTGAACCTCATCTCAGGGTTGCAGTAAAAACTCACAGCCAAGTCACACAGGTCTTATTCCCATGTGACACAGCCTGATGTCTCCTCTCACATCCAGATGTTTGTTCAGCCCCAGTCTACTCTTTGCAGCATTACACACTGTCCTAAATGCCTCACATTAACTCAGTTTTGATCACCATACTCAGTACCTACAAAAATAAATACATAAATTTAGTATAAGTATAAAGTGCTCCCAAGCAAACCTGTCTCCTCATAACAGAGTCTCAGTTTCTTGTAGACAGCTGTCTGCCGTATTGAATCTGTCCCTATCGGACTTCATCAGTCTCTCAAATTGTTGTATTGTAATTTTGACCCCTCTTCATTTCATTGTGGGTATTTGTTTATGCACAATAGGAGTGAATGATATGTAGTCTTAAAATTATATTTTGATATTTCTGACAAAAAATACTGAGTGTTTTATAGATGCTTGCAGGCAGCAACCTTTATGTGTCAATAAACTGTCACTTTTCATCCTTCTGTTCCACTGAGCGACTGTCTTTGAAGCACTGTGGTAAAAGTGTGAGTGTATATGCACAGAGTTAACAGTAACTCAAGTAACTTAACCTTGTTAAGTATTGTCTGCCTGGGTTGATCTTTGGTCAAACTGCCCAAAGCCCCACCTTTCCACCTTGTAAACACTTTAGAATTTCATTCACGGCTTGCTCTTCTTATCATTTGGTTATTTTTGGGTTGCACATCACCAGTTGATAGCAGCTCCTCCATCATAGCTTGGTTGTATTTATTTATTTATTTATTTTTTGTCTTGAGTGAGGAAACAGGTTTGTTGTTTCCACCTTCAGCAGGAACAGTTTTCCCTTTGGAGCACTATCCTTTGTTGGAGGTTGTTGAAGTAGCTCCCTTTGCACTAAATCATTACTGGAGGCAGGGGTGTCTGACATTGCTGTTAGACGATCTTGGGCTTGTTTCAATGTTCTTGTGCGCTAAGGAACATAAACATAAAAGGAACCATGATAGCACGATACTTCAGCAAATTTACACCAGTGTTATTGCAGAAGCCATGCTATGGCACCTTTAATACCTGGTGTTAAATATACGTAGCCAGCTAGAGCCTGGAGCGTGCACAAACTGTCGGCTTCAGAGCAATGCGCAACAAGGACATTGCTTTCAGTTTGTACGAATCTTTAAGGTTCTAAAAAGCATCGAGTTTGGACGGGTCTTACCACTTGTAATTATGAAGTATGCAACATTTTTTCTAAGCTTTTTTCTGTTACTCCAAAGCATTCAGGCAAACATAACAGAAAGTAATCAATATAATAAGTGGATTTAGTCATCACCATCAAAACTTCCTCTGTCTTCTCGTTGCTGTTAAGAAACACCCATTTGCGTCAGGAGCGACATGACAAACGCTTTGGATGCTTTATCGTTTGATTTTTTTTTTAAATTGCTCAACGATTGATGTTGGTAGAGGAATAACTGCATAATTAGGACAATTTACTGTTGCATTAATGACTCCAGCAAGACTTGCTAAGCATCCACAAAGATCATTAGTGTTTGTTTATCTCACCTCGAACCATGTATCTCTTTTATCACGCATTTCCATTGTCATAAATATACAGTGTGTAGAAAGTTACTGTTGTATAACTTGTTCTGATTAAAGATGAATCGAGACATGAATTCAGATGAAAAGCTTCAGTCGTCTCTCTCTGACATCTACCTACCAGTAAATCTGCTGAACACACCCTCCCCGCTTTCCCTTTAATCAGCTCATCTAAAGCTAAACCACTAAGCTGTGCCAGCTATTATACAGCAGATTATCACCACAGCACACAGATAAAGACTTTGTGGCTGTAATAGGTTTTAATAATTAGGTGTTCTCACTAAAGCTTGCTGCTTGATTTCCCACTACAGTGCACAGCAGACAGGCGAGCCCTGTGCTTATTTCAGCTACAGAAGAAGAGGAAAAAGAAAGTTACTCTTGTGTGCATTTCCACAGTGCTTCAGTACAACCGCAACGCCAAATAATTTGGGAATTAAAATGTTTTTTAAAACGGCAACAATTTGCAGAACATATATATTCTATAATAGAGCATTAGATATATATTAAATGTTTAAAATGTGTTACGTTTGAGAGGTGTTCAGATGTAAGTAGGTTAACTGACAACAGGTCACCGACGTGTTTGCAGTTTAGAGAGGCTGTATTTATGAATGAGCAGAAGAACCTGTATCTACAGATTGGGAATTCATTTCAGAATGTCATTCAACATAATAAAGAAGACTTTAAATTTTTATGTCATCATATATGATAGATCATCAGATATTCAGAGTGTCTGTATTAAAAAAATAAATAAATGAGAAAATCTAAAAATCAGTGGCTGCCCATGATCTTTGGGTCCTCAGGCAGCACTGCATTAGGAAAAAAAAATCATCCTGCTATGCAGACACTGCATGTGTTCACGAACCCTTCCAGAAGGTATCGTCTGTGCCATCCAAAAAGCTCTATCATGCAAATAACAAACCAGATGTGAACATGATCCAGAAATGCTGCCCTCTTCTCTGGGCCAAAGCTCGAAGTAACACATGCTCCCATCTGGGGAAGGCCTTGCATATTTAATCAATACAATGCTAAACACAGCATCTATAACAACATCATGACTTCATAGTAAAAGAGTCTGACTGCTGAACTGGCTTAACTGCACCAAACCATTTGGGCATCATGAAATAAAAAAACGCCGTGAGACGACCCAGGATTGTTGAGCAGGTAAAATCTTTTGTCAGACTAGAATCTGACAACATTTCAGAGCAGCTGCTGGAAAGCTTTTATAAAAAGAAGGTATTTTTCCAATAATGGTAAACTCTCTGTTCAAATGTTTGATATGGTTTCGGTCTTCTATTGTAAGGGAAAATGTGTTTACGAGATTTGCAGATCATTGCATTCTGTTTCAATTAATTTATTTTTTTTAAATTTGGGTTGTATATGTAATTTGTTAATTTATTCATATATTCATAAATACTAATGACGTACTAATTTTGAAGGATAGCGTGGTGTGTTCAGATTTTTCTGGATTACTTTGTACTTCTATTGTGTTACAGACTTTATTAACAGCATATAGCTGCTAACTGTACCTCTGACTGTTAACAGGTGGGCTTTTTTATGTTGAGATTTTAATGTCTAAAATCTATGCAAATATAGACGAAAGGTATGCACCGAAATATTTAGTGTTCATGGAGAGCAGCTCTTATTTTATGATGGTGCTGAACATGAGCTTATAAGTCTTGCTTAGAAATCATCATATTTCATTAAGTTTTAGTCTTCTTAGAATCTCACTCTGTACATCCATCTGATTCAGTAACTAACTTTTAATGCTAAGTAAGTGCCAAAAAAATACAAGTCAAAAATGGCACTCAAAAGAGAATAGCACCATTAATACTCACACAGTGTGGACTGGATTAAAATCACAGACCATGTAATAATAAACTCCTTCCACTTTCCAACAGAGAAATAAATCTTGTCCAAAAGAAGCTTGGATGGCAGCTTCGAATATAGACTGATTAATTATACAGTAAATTTTCAAGTATTGATTGAATTACTCCATTTTTTTTTTTTTTTAAGCTTTTTATTCTTCAGTTTTCCTGTCACTGTTTCCTACTTGAAACATTAATCAAGATATGGAACAAATTTAATCTTGAACTGTTTGTAAAATTCATTCCCTAACCCATCTGGGCCTGGACTCTTACCATTTTTTAATAAACCAATAGATTTAATAATTTCTTCCTTTGTAATCTTGGCTTTCAAAATCTTGCGACCCACCTGATCTAACACAGGGAGGTCACACTTACCTAAAAAGTCCTGCATATCTTTAGGCCCTGCAGTGGAATGAGAAGTATAGAGAGATTCATAAAACTGTCTAAAGTTATCATTAATGTCTTTATGTGATGTAACCAGGTTTCCATTGCGTGATCTAATTTTGTGAATCATTCTGTTAGTTGTTAGCTGTTAGCTAGCAGGGCTAGTTGTTAACTAGCCCTGCTAGCTAACACCTTATGTTAGCTAGACAGCCACATAAGTTGTTAGCTGTCTAGCTAACAACTTATGTGGCTTGTCCCCAAATTCAAAGTACTTCTGTCTTACAAAGGTGAACGCTCTATTAATGTTGCTGGTTAGTATTTGATTTAGTTCATATTTTAATGCACAAATAGTGTTGTACTTATCTAAAGAGGGAGCCCTTGCATTATTGGCGTCCAAATCGTGGATCATTTTTTCTAATTTTAACTGTTCTAGTTTATTATTTTTATTCTGTGAGGCCTGATATGATATTATGCACCCCCAGATATAGGCTTTAAACGTTTCCTATAATATATCAGGTGAGATTTCGGCATTATCGTTTATATCGAAAAATAAAGAGGTCTGAGAGTTTATATACTGTTGAAATTTTAAATCGCTCAGTAGTTGTGGGTCAAATCTCCAATTCCTATATGCTTTGGTGAAGTTGCTAAGTGCAAAGGAGCAGGTGACAGGGCAATGATCAGAGATAATAATATTGTGATAGGTTATGTTACGAACAAGGGAGAGCATTTTTCCATCTACCAGAAAATAGTCAATCCTTGAATAAACGTTATGTGCAGAAGAGTGGAAAGAATACTCTCTACCTGATGGATTTAAAGTTCTCCACACATCACAAATATTCATATTGTTCATATATGTTTTAATAAAGTTGCTACCTTTACACAATGTGGGGTTTTTTTTTGTTTTCCTTTTTGGAGAGGGATTTATCTAAGTATGGGTCTAACACTAAATTAAAATCACCTCCAATTATTAAATTATTATTAGGTATATCCAGCTGAAAACCTTTCTATAAAACTCTGGGTCATCATGGTTAGGTCCATAAATGTTCAGTAGAATAATCGGAATGGCGTGCAGCTCCCCGGTCACTAATACATATCTACCATTCTTATCAGCTATAGTGGAAGTGTGCCTGAACAGAGTATCTTTCTTAATTAATATAGCTACCCCTCTGGTTTTAGCAGAAAATGTTGAGTAATACACCTGATTAATCCATCTACACCCAAGTTTATTATGAGCAGCATTTTTCAGATGAGTTTCTTGTAAAAAGATAATATCCGCTTTAAGAGATTTCAAGTGTTGAAATCTCTTAACAGGCTCATTTACACCTTTAACATTCCATGTACAAAAGGTCAGATCCACATTCTTTTCATTTCCATTTCCATTGTCTTGCATTTGAATAAATTAAGGCGGCTTAATTCTGGTGCTCTCCATACTTCTGCAGTCAAGATATGGGCCCCAACCCTCACCCCCCACCGCCCTCCCCATGTATAACCATAACAAAACAAACTCGTAAGCAGTGCATCCCCGCCCATACAGTCCCAACTGAAAATAAAAATAAAAACAAAAGATCTGAAGGGATGCGGTAACAAAAACTAAGCTTACCAAAATACTACTTGATTAATAAGATTGCAATTAGACCTAAAGTTCAGGTTCCACCAGAATAATATAGTATATGCTGTAAAGGTCAAAAAGGTGAACCTATTATTTTTTATGTAGCACACTGTGCATTCACAGTGCATTCAATTATGACTGTACTTTTGTTTCTGCAGCATGGCTCAGTGCAAGGCAGCTTTTGGAGAATATCCCAAACTGGAATGATACTGGGACAATACTTGCCCAGACTGAAAAACCTAAAAGCAAAGAGATCTTTTTTGGGTTTAGCTGCCAAACTATATACTGATGTCTAATCTTCACTTTGATCATCGTCTAGTTTAATACTAACACCCAGAATCAGAAGCGAGATCCATCTGTGACAACCTTTAAAGTTGTGCACATTTATATACACAACATGTAACAGTAAGAACTTGAATACTGGAGGAACAAATATTGTATAATCCACTTTATTTTGAAACAGACCAACACAGATCAGTTTATAGTTTACAATTCAATCCCTGTCTTATCTATTTTAGTAGTGCATATGGATGCATTCTGAGCTTATTATTAAAGCTGCAGAATTTGATAAGGAAAAAAAAGACAATTCTGACCTAATAATGTTAGGTTATTAATGTTATTATTTGTCTCTGTACTGTTTTATACTGTTTATACTAAAATCATGAGTACTATACTTCATTTGTCATCTGTAAGCTATGATTTTTGGGGCAAAGCATCCTTTAACTTATGCTTGTGTTTAAAAGAAAACTTGGTTATGCATCAATTTACTTCTTGTTCAGAAGGATGTCGGTAATTTGAAGTGCTGAATGAGTGTGTCATGTTCCATATTCACCAATAAATAAAACACACACACACAGATTTGTTAATACAACAATCTTTGTATTGTCAGGTATATAAAGCTCTTGTATAGTTCTATGTTTGTGGGAAGGTAATGCCAGGTTTGTTTTTTCATTTGCTTCTTTTTTGTGTAATGTAATTGGTTTTATGGACTATGAATCTGGATTGATCTGCTTGCGTTTGCTTTTAAGGGTTTAATAGTTAGTAGAAAATAAAGAAAAATACTTTTTACGTACAAGTCACGTTTCATTCGGCCATACATACTTAAATGCATCCTTTCAATTCTATCCTTCGGACCTTTGGATTGAGCCACCTTCTGATTAGAGGATGAGGCACTATTTCCTGAGCTCCTTGGCTTTTGTCACCAGAATGATACTGTTGTTGCACACAATCATGTGTTCCTTGATGATGTGAATAAAGTGTTATCTTTGACCCTCTATTTTTCTTTTATTGTTCCGCAGTGTGTTTTGTCTGAACCCAAGTTTTGGCCAGTGCAAGTGTCAGCACTTTGCCTCAGGACGAAACTGGAAAAAGGAAAATCCCGATGTGTAGAAAGAGCCATGATGCAAACCCAGGTAAATAACTACTCGGGGAGGAAGGTCAAAATAAACAGAAAGCAGAGTGTGTGCAAGCGTCTGCCTGCCTTAATCAATCCAGCTTATTGTAGAAATGGCCATACGAGTCGCCCTGTTGAAATAAGATTCAGAGTCTCTTCCAGCACCACCACCTATCACACCATATGTCAAAATAATGCCAGTCACTGCTATACAGACACTTTCCAAAAAATTAAAATATCACAGAAAAGTTTATTTATTTCCAAAATTCCATTCAAAACGTTAAACTTTCATACATTTTGATTCAGGGCCCACAACTTAAACGATTTCAAGTACTTAGTTGTTTATTTGTACATCATTTGGGCTTCCTGCTCATAAAACCCACAAAAACAGGATTTCAAAAAATTTGAATACTGTGAAGACATCACCATTTACTTCTCAGTTTTTGCAGAAAGAAAAGATAGAAATTAGGATCACATCAATCAATCAAAATGTGGTACTTTCAAAATTATATGTCAATCTTCAATACTTGGTTGGGAATCCCTTTGCGTTAATCATTACCTCGATGTGCCGTGGCATTGAGGCAATCAGCCTGTGGCATTGCCCGGTAGTTATGGAAGCCCAGATTTCCTTGATGCTTGCTGTCAGCTCTTCTTTGTTTTTGGGTCTGGTGGACCTCATTTCCCTCTTGATACCCCATATATTCTCAATGGGGTTTAGGTGTGGTGAGTTGGCTGGCCAGTCAAGCACTGTGATGGCATGGCCAGCAAACCAAGTTTTGGTGTTTCTGGCGGTATGGACAGGGGCCAGGTACTGCTGGAAGATGAAATCTGCATCTCCATACAGATCCTCAGCAGTAGGAATCATGAAGCCCTGTAAAACATTCTGGTAGACTGTTGCGGTGACCTTGGATTTAAGAAAGCAGAGTTTACCAACACCTGCACTGGACATTGCACCCCAAATCATAACTGACTGCAGATATTTCACACTGGACCTCAAGCAGCTTGGGTTCTGTTCCTCACCTGTCTTCCTCCATACACTTGGACCTTGATTCCCGAATGAAAGGCACTCTTTATTTTCATCGGAAAAGAGGACCTTTGACCACTGGCTAACAGTCCAGTCTATCTTCTCCTTGTCCCAGTTGAGTCGCTTCCGAGGTTGGCTCAGACTCAGAAGTGGTTTTGAAGCTTTGACTCCTGCCTCATTCCACTCTTTCTGAATCTCTGCCAGATTCTTGAATCTTCTGTCTTCTGTCTGCCTGTTTTCGTGGGTTTCATGAGCTCTAAGCCCAAATTATGTACAAATAAACAACTAAGTACTTGAAATCGTTTAAGTTGTGGGCCCTGAATCTATCATCTATGAAAGTTTAATGTTTTGAATGGAATTATGGAAATAAATAAACTTTTCCATGATATTCACATTTTTTGGAAAGGGTCTGTAAGTACAAACATTCCACCTCCAGTCCCAAGGAGGCAGACGGGGACATGAATCGTCTTGGAATTGGTAAAAACATTGTTCTTGTGACTTGTTTATTTTGGATAGTTTGTATTGTAACTGCATCTATCAGAAAAATGAATGTCATTCCAAAAACGTATGTAAGTTAGTAGTGTGCTATCTGCTGTCAGGAGATAACACCTGGTAACAGTCGTCTGAGTCATGATTTTTGATTGACTCACAATCAGCTGCACATCTGGAATGATGAGTGCTGCTCATCATGGGCTATGCAATGAGCTGTCAATAACAGAAATAATTTCCAATCAGCAAAGAGCAGAAATCTGCACCTGCAGTGGGCAAAGGGCACTGGAGCAAAACTGGAGAATAGAAAACTGCAAACATGGATTAATGAACCCGTATTTCTGATATCCAAAATTGAGGCTCCATGAATTCATGGAGAAAGTCCAGGCTGCTGCTGTGATCTGTTGAATGTTTTCTTGGCATTCTTCATACACCTAAATAATAACAAATCACTGGTTGAATCTCAATTTGTCAGTTTTTTGTTTGCTGTATTCACTTGGTTGTGGGCAGAGTGCAGCATCTTCTAAAGGCTTGTTTCATAAATGTGACAGTGGATATAAGTGGCCTCTTTGGTCACCTGATCACCTTTGGGGAGTGGTATGTTAGTGAAAACCATAGCAGGAAAATCAAAGGCCAGGTTTTCCACAGTACTCTGCGGATGCACATGCTTTCCTTATCTGCCCTGCCCAGATTTGGATAATTAAATCACAGCCCATTAAAAAAGTTAATAATCATAAAGGTTTATCAAAGTTCAATTATCTAATTGAACTTTGAGTATTAATCTGAACTGCTTGAAATGAAGGAAGCTAATTTTCTTGTTTTGTTTTTGAAGACAATTCGCGTATCATGGCAGAAGCTTCTAGAAGTTCTGCAGCCTTGATTTCATGATGAGTATGGTTTTTGCTCTAGTGCAAGTCCATCCAAGGATACTGTTTGTTGCTGTGTTTTCATTTTGTGTGTGATCGTATCTGCCCATCTGTGAATGGTTTCGCCGTCATGTTACAGAATAAGAAAATTAGTGTGACCACAAACAAAGTTAAGAGCCGCAGAGCTCTGCAGACTCACAGTCCCAGTGAGTTATTGAGTAACCTTGTTCTTTTTTTCTCCAAACAACCCTGAGCACAAACCAAACCATTAATGCTGCACAGCTCCAAATGTTACTGTGGATGTTGATCAATAACATCCCTGAAAGAGTGAGCACAAGGTGCATTATGGGTTTATTAAAAAAAAAAAAGCCGCAAACGGAGGACTCGAGGACATAGTTTGCAGACAAGTCTTCCTTACAGAAGTAAAACGAGGCTGTTTTAGCTGCCACAGCCTGGGCTGGTAGAGAGTAAAGTTGTAAGCAGTGAATGTCATTTTTTAAGATGTATTTTGTGATTTTGTGTAGTTGGATTGGTTTCCTATAAAGGTCTCAAGCTTTTTGAGCAAATAAAATGCACTTGGTTTCTATTTCATTCTATATGATGACATGCATCTAAATCAATTTGGCATGTAGTGTTGTTCTACGTTGTTTTGCTTGATTTTGGATAAATAATTCCAGTTCTCAAGATAAGGATCATCCATCAGTCTGCCCATCAGTCCGCTCTGAGATAATTTCTCTTTGAAAGCAGGCTAGCAGGGTCTCTCAGATAAAATGGTTTTTGGCTTTTTTATGGAGGATCCTGGATGAGAGAGAAATGATCTCTCCAGAAGGTTATGGGACTACCCTTAGAGGCTCCTGACTGTTCGGTCTGCCTCCTACAAAGTGAAGAATCCACAAAGCATCCTGATTAGATGCCTTGACCTCCTCAGCTGTTTCTATCAGTGCAAAGCTGCAGTAGCTGTACTCCCTCCAAATGTGCGAGCTCCTCATCCTGCCTCTAAAGGCTGAGCCCAGGGAGCTTATTTTGACAGCTTTTATCCACAGCCTCATCCTTTTGGCCACTACGCAGAGCTTAAGAACATAACTGAGAGTTGGAACGTAGATCGAGCGGTAAATTGAGGGCTGCGTGTTCTAGCTCATGTTTATCTGTACCACAATGTCCTCATCACAGCAGATGCTGTGCTTCAACTCCCTCGGATGGGGCAGCAACTCTCCCACAACCCAAAACGAGCAATCAATTATTTAATTTAATAAAGTTAGCTTTCCACTGCCATTTTCTAATTTATTAGCAACAACTCTGTGTTTACAAAAACGTTCCTCTTTACTTTTGTGTTTTTTATGTGTACCATTGGAGATAAACCACATTTTTTGTATGGGGGGACATTTAAAACGTGTCTCAATGATTTTAATTTGTTCATCTGATCAGTTTTGACCCTTTGGAAAAGATGCCAAGATTCTGCAAGGATGGTGGCAGAAGGAAACCACAAAACGTGTCTGTTTGTTCCTCCTTGCATTTTATTTAATTCAAAGTCATAAAAGGAGAACGAACAGCTGTAGGCTACAAGAGTTGTGTTCACTATTTGCTCTTTGTCTCCATGAATGTTCCCTCTCATTGCCCATTTGATGCCTAATGACCCTGTAACCCTGTCAATGGCACAGAATATATACATATATTTGCACTGCTAGCAGTAAAGATACTGGTTACATCTTCAACTGATGGAAGTAATACTCAGTCATTTTGGGGGATGAACTCAGTTGTTACAGACTCTGCAGCACATTTTGTGGAACAAATTCAGCCGTTGAATTCCAGTTTCCTTCTTTATTTGAGTTTCTTTCTTTTCCAGGCAATAGTAGACCACTTTGAAGACAAGAGTTGTCCTGTGACGGAGCGCCTCAAAGTCTTTTACTGCTGCCAAGCACCACCCAGATGGGCTGTCCAGGTATTAGGTCCCTTTCTGTTTTTTTTCCAAAACGTTCCGTCTGGTAAACTAAAAGGAAATTAACTAGCACTTTATTCACTTTGACTGTGAGAGTCTGTGTTTTTTAAAATTTATCATTAAAAAGATCTTTTGGACAGAGACTAATAATGTCACTGATGATACGAAACGATAATGTCTCGGTTAAGAATAGATTGAATGATTCGCATTAATGTCACATAAGTGCACCTGAGATGGAATACAATAACATTTTTGCTGTTATTTGGTCATAAACCTTGCCTTGATTGTTCTACCATAAGAAAAAGCGTCTGCTGTCCTTAAAACAAGAATTCACTAAACCGCTGACACGCCCCTTAGGCTTGCTGTTAAGGGTTTGAGAGCTACTTTCTAAATACTGTGAATGTTGTCACAGGGCTGACTTCATCCTCTTTCATTCCACAGCTCATAGCTTGTATACTTAATGTTGTTGTTATCATACCTTGTCTTGTCCTATTCTAAATTCCTTTTTTGTTTCAAAATAAACTAAAGAAAAAGTAGAGATAACCAAAGTTATAATTAAGTTAACTCTTTAAGCATAGATAAATGAATGGCAAATTAGATTAAAATTAATATTACATTTGGATTGAAATCAAGCGGTGTCATGCCCGTAACAGGGACAGAACAATACGACAAAAGGCCTCCAGGGCAGGGTGTAGGGGAAAAGAGCAGCTGTTCTAGTGCTTGCATACGTGCTGCATTCTTCAAGTAGCAGCCTTGTCAAAGGTTATAATCAATAATGCATAACTGCTGTTTGTTCTTGGCTAACAGAACGAAGAGCAATGCAACAATCAGCTCTGTTGGCTTTATCGTTGCCATTCTTTTGGCATGCTTGGAACATTTTTGGTCACCAGTAACAAATAGCTTACATCACCTTATGATTCTGGTGGGTGTACCACTAGAACACTGGTACTCGTCACTGCTGGCACAATGTTCAAAGAAAACACTAAACACAAGACAGTTCAGCTGTTATTTATAATGAAGATTCTTTGCCTTTAATAAGAATTCAAGTGCCTTAATTCTCATGGCATAGTTACATTTAACCACAAAGTCTCTTACATGACATCATCTGTTTACATAATTCAACCAAGGCAGATATCTGGTCAATAAGCCAATTTCCTCTTGGCCAGCACGTTAAGGCATTAAAATGTAATGTAGACAAATATTTATCATTGTCTGAGACAAATCTCTCCACCTCTCTGGCAGGTCGTCCTTAGCTTATATAGTTCTCATGAGATCTCATACGTTTTTTGGCTATTGAGAAATGTTTGTGATAATATTTGATTCTGCGGTCAGAGCTTCGATTCATCTGCATTTCTAATGGAGGGGCACCTCTCAGCAGCACTCTCCTAATTTAAATTCTGACTCTCTCAAGAACATACTTTATCACCCTGAAGTTCTTCTCTGCTTACTCAGCGCATGTGACATAATTGTTATTATATTGGATTAAATTTTAAAAGAAAATCCACTCCTTGCTGCCACATTGTCTGTTAAGATTTCCAGTTTGCTAACGTACACATCCGCTCTACAGTCTTAAAGAGAACATCAGCTACTTGTAATGATATGATGATTTTATTTCATAGAGAACATGACAAAAACAGAAAAGCACCGAGTGACAACAGCTTGATTGTTGTAAAAACGTTCATCTAACTTACATACTTAAAAACCGTGTATGTAAATAACTTTTTTGGCTGCATACATACTGTGATGCTCAATTCAGATAAAAAAAACATTAGAACTCCGAGATGTCAGGTTAAGTAAGCATGATATTACCTATATTACGTTAGTTCTTCCATAATAGAACTAGAAAGGCATGTTGCATACCACTGTTTAAGGTTTCTTGTTTGCTAGAGTAACAAAAGTTGCCCCCATATCTGTATCAAAAACTCTAATGTCACCTTTAATCCCATTGTAAAGTTATAGCGAGTTACTGGATGTAGAAGCACTTTATGTGTATGGGAATTTTATACTAGATTGATAGTTGACCTCTAGAGTTCACACCTTAACCACACCTGTACACCTTAAGCACTTTATCTGCCTTGCATCCATGGCCAATTTAGAATCAATAGTTTACTTAACGTGCATGTCATTAGGCTGTGGGAGGATGGAGTTCAGAGGAGGCCAGAGGACTCGGAGGAAGCCCACTCAGTCACAGGGAAAACTCCACATCAGAGTGGCCCAGCTGGGCAAATTGGCCACATTTTGATAAATAAATTGCACCTGAAAAGGAGAAACTAGCTGTGACATATTTTGATAATATCTTTGCCTCTCTGTGTCTGTGTTGCACCATTAAGCAAGTGATCAGCCAGATCCAGCTGACATTATTGCCAGCAGTGTTGTCCCAGGTAGGGTAAGGAAAGAGAAGAGGTTGAATAGGCAGTAATAGAAAGATTGAAGTAGGAGGAGTGTTGGAGAAAGGGAGAAATCAGTTTGGGAGGAAACATCACACAGGCAGCCGGTAATAACTGATAACAGCAATGAAGTTGGAATTGAAGAGTCTGTATTACCGTCTGGGGAGCTGAAAGTCTGTTGAGGAGGAGGATTGCAGCAGGTACTGCAATGCATTTTTCTGCCGGGGGTGGCTTTCTGCTTTTTCCGTCTCACACTTTGTTTTCATGACAAGCCATTTCATTTTTATGCCTTTAGGGTGAGGCCATTTTTATAGTTTACTTAGAGCTGGTTTTGCACATTTCTGGTCAATAACCACACATCAGGTAGTGTATATTTTACATTGCTACTAACCAGTTTCTAAAGCATGCCATCAGTTGCTTCCCTATGTTTCACTGATTTCCATTAATTTCATGGTACTTTAAAAACTTGTGATTTCTTACAGTGGTGAGGTTGGATCTTCACTCATGTCTTTTACACTGTTTTCAAGCCTGCCTGATGAATGTACAGTAGTTGGCGCATCATACTATTGTAATGTCTTACAGATGAGTGTGGATGGTTACAAAAAAATTGCAGACACCCAAATGTCTGAACCCAGCGTAAAAATGTCCTAAAACTTGCATTTTTCTTTAAAGAAAAAAAAAATCAGCATGTGGCTGGTCTGTGACCATAGCAAATATTTTCCTGTTCAGTTTATCAGTATAACTGTCGTTTTGTAAATTACGATAACTATTCATCATAAATGAGAATAAAACAATAGAGTCTTCCTGTCTTCTTTCCCATAAGTCTACAACTGCTAGAAGCACTTTGATATTATATTTCTCCATGCTAACGCTAACACAGGTCACACAGAACTAACTAACACAGTGAAATTGAATGTAGATAGACTATTTATTTATATATATATATATATATATATACACACACGCATACATATATATACACATATATATACATATGTGTGTATGTGTGTGTGTGTGTGTGTGTGTGTGTGTGTGTGTGTGTATGTGTGTGTGTGTATATGTGTGTATATGTGTGTGTATATATATATATACACACATACAACAAATGGATGGACATAAATTATTGGTATAGAATATTTGCTCCATATCAGTCAGTCAGAGCAAGTTTTATCTGATTTTATCATCAGATGCATTTATATGCCTTCATGCCTTCATGGTTATAGAAGTTGTTAAAGATCTGCAAACAGTATTTTGCATGAATGTTAGCTTTCTAGCATGCTAATATAAAATGTGCCTCTTCTGTCACTCTATTAGCGTTGTCATAGTGAGCACCTTAGCATGCCAGCAGCCTCAACATGGTTCAGACGTCTTCGCTTTATTCTCTCCCTGTGTACAGAAACAGCTGGCCAGCCTTCTGATGGATCTCGGCTGCATCAGTTCAGCTGTACTCATTTATGAAAGGCTGGAGCTCTGGGAAGATGCAATTATCTGCTACGAGAGACTCGGCCAACACGGAAAGGTACACGCTGATCTTAACATTCCTGAACTTAACTGATCTGAATATTAAACCACTAATCTATGTAAATGAAGTCGTTTTAATGTTCATACAATTTTTCTTATTCCCTAAATCCTTCACTTAATCTAGACAACATTTCTAAGTTGTATTATTAGAAGAGGTTTTTCCAGCAGCTTGCTGTTTGAATAATCAAAATCATCTAAAAGCAATAGTGCTTAGTTTAACATTTTTTAACTATATTTTGAGTTGATATGAATTTGTTTTAATACTTCATGGTTTCTTTTTTCACATAAATAGTGTAACACTTACTGTATGTAGGCAAGAGTAATGTAAAATCAAATTAAATGTTTCACTTTCTCTTAAACAGACCCTAGTTACTTTGGTAGAAATCATAAATGACACATATTTTTTAATCACAACCCCCACAGTCACTATCTGTTTTTTTCCTTCTATCTGGGGTTTTGTTGGATTAAATCATCTTTATTGAATTCTAGATTCTCTTATCTCATGTAATAGAGAAACCTTTTCACATCTAGGAAAAACATTAAAGGTTTCCATGATATTTGAAGAATTTCCTGGCTATGGGATAGATACAATATTTCTTATCTTATCAGGAAAAAAAAGAGTCAGAAAAAGATTTTAATCCTATAATAAGACTGGAAAACTTTTGTCTATTCCAAGCTGTGGTTAACTCTCTGCAGATCTCTGTTCACAGCAGCACAGATGGTGTGATTTACATGTCAATTGTAGATTTCAAACTAAATGATTTGATGCTCATTTGGCAGATCGGTATTTTAAATTGGTTGTCAAGGCCAAATTAGAGGTTGTCAGTAATTAGTGATGAGGCGATCGGGGGGGAAAAGTCAAAAATCAGGATAACTGCACTTCCACTCATCTTTCCCTTGGTCATTATTCAAAATTGCAATGACTTTTTATTCATAGTTTCAACGCAGAAGACATATCCTTAATTACTTTACTTCAGCATATAAGAGTAACAGAAATATTGATATCTTACAGTGAAAAGGGTATTAATGGATTCTGATTAATCTGAAGAACTGGATTTTGTGTATCTTCTTGGTCTTAATTTAGTTTTACTGATAACTTTGTCATAATCCTTCGGGAATGTAAACAGGAAGTATAATGTTGACTTTCACTACAACATGAGCCTCATTTGTTAGCTTGTTTACCATTTGTTAGAACTCCCTTGGATTAGCCATCAGGATTACAGACTTCCAAGACTGGAGCATGTGATTTTTAATCCCTTGCCAAAAAATGTTCTTCTCATAGCATGATGCTAGGATTATGGTTCACTTCACTTCAATATCATTTTATTTAAATAGCACCAAATCACAACAGCAGTTGCCTCAAGTTGCTTTACATTGTAAGGTAAAAAAAAATTGTCAAGTATTTAATTTATCTGAACTTGTACTGCAGCTGCAAATGCTGACCGTGACTAACTTTGTATTGTTTTTTAAACTAAAGGGGTAATGTCCCCTGTAGGCTCTGGATCTGTCAGAGATCTCCACTTACACATAGACACAAACCACAAAGGGAGTCGCAGAGGAAAAGCTCTGATGCCTGAACATCACCATGTGGCTCCTAACCAAGTCCTATTACTTCATGTTCTTTTAAGGAGGGCGCGTTCTCCACCCTCCAGCTGAACAAAGAGATTGTTATATTCATAAAAGCATTATCAGTCTGGGAGTATAACCAATTCATAGGCCAGCACTCAACAAGGACATTCTTACCTGCCTGTCAAGAGTACAACACAATTCTTGCTGTGATTGTGCCGTGAGAAGTGATCTCGGCGTTTAGATTTAGGTTTGAGTTGAATTCCAAAGACATCCAGTGATGACCGTGTTTAGAAATAATTCAGTCATTCACTCAGTCATGACATTACTAAGTTTTGATCACTATTGCATCAGATAGTTTTCACTCCGATGATTTTAGTCAGCCATGCAGAAGTGTGGACAGAGACCCAGTACAACTACAGAGACGGTTAAAAGCAGATGTCAGCACGTATGCTGTCTGCAGCTGTGTGTACGCTACTAATATTCCTCTTATCTCTTATATGCATGCACAGAGAAGCATTAGTGCAAAACTAGCAACATATTTATGTATGCATTATATATGCATACATGTATAATGTATATATGACACTAATAAGCAAAGCCAAAACAAACATGGCACTGATTTAGTGCTGGTAAACACATTTGCAGCAGAAACACCAGATGACAAATGTTTTCTTTTCAGTTTAATATGATGGATGGACTACTTAACAGACCTAGCAGACACAGGCCTCATGACTGCTCGGGTAACGTTTCTTGTTGGAAAGTCAATGACATTACTGCAAAAAGATGCAAAATGACGGAAAAATTCAAAACAATCACAAACAGATGCAAAATGAGCACACAGGGATACAAAGTGGCAACAAATACAAAAAAGTAATTACAGGGAGACACAAAACAATAAACAAAGAGCTAAAAACAAACAGTTAACACAGATGCAAAATGACAACAACAGGAACAATCACCACAGTGAAATGCAAAAAGATCAGAGAGAAACGGAATGAAACACAAAAAGATGCAAAATCACAGCAAAAAGTGGAAGAACTGGGGGAAACTGAGAGGCCAAATGCTGTTTTCTCCATACTGATTTAGACTGTTCATAAGGCAAAAACCTAGAAAGATGAAATTAAATTCCTACTGGGTCTAGGTAACGGATCAAACACTAGATTGCGCCAATTATGTGTTTAACATACCCAGTACTCAAATCCAACTCTGTTATGAAATGCAGATGTGCATAAATGTTGTGTGTGGATGTTGAGCACTGACCTGAACATTTAACCTGTCTGTTTGTGAAGAGCTCTCAGCAGGACTCTAACAGCCTGTCAGCTCTTTGTTTGTCAGTTACAGTGTCTATTGTGTCTGATTTGATTAGCCAGGTTGCTTTTTGCTAATAAAAAGTGCAGTGCCCTTCTCTAGTCTTAAACCATGTGCTGTGGTAATTCCAGCCAATAGTCCGTGTTATGTACTCACTGAGATCCAAAATAAGAAGGCCGATCCATTTGTCTGGAGTGGTTGGGATTCTGTCCAGCACTGCTTCTCCGTTATCCCCTACACTCCCTTTTTGCTCTGTCATAATGACATTGTTTCATGACGTAATGTAATGTCGGACATAAATAATGAAAGAGACTGCTGTGTTCAGCATGGCTCACAGCTCGTCTCTGTTTAACTAAATGTTTGCATTGCATTTGCCCAGCTGCAGAAGAAGTTGCAGGCTGAACACTTGGATGTTTAGTGGTTACGTTACATCTTCATTGCTGTTAAAATGTCACTTTGTTTTGTTCTTTGTTTTGTTTTTTTCTTACTAGCAAGCATGTGGAAACCATCCCATTAGTTTCTAAACTCCACATTTTTCCTAAACATTGACAGATAAAACAGTATTTCAGCCACTGGCAGGTTGTTTTTTCTGAGCCTAAAATGACCATATTTGGAAAAGAGGGTGAAGTGCTATGCTCTTAACTAATGACTGTATTCTGCAGTCTGCAGGGAGATACCTGCTAATTATGCCAACTAATAAACAAGTAGAAATCCAGTCATCAGAAATGAAGCACAGATGTCAAGAATTGACAATTTATTTATGAGATATTTCCATTAAATTACTTTAAAAACACCAACAGCAAAAACGGGTTCAAAAGATCTATATTAAAAACTGAGACTTCAGTCTGGATGTCTTGGTACTGATGTTTCACAAGTTGGACTTCTCTCCTCCATAGATCCCAGTAGGTCCCAGTCTTTTTAACAACATTTGTTTTCATAGAAAAGCAGTTAGCACAGGAATAGCAATTACCCTTGGTATACTGCATTTCACAGTGTCTTCTTGCTCAGCCACCATCCTTCAAGTCCACGTGATTGATCTGAACTTCTGGGGGTACTTTTCGGAATAAATTTGTTCAACCTTAAAACTAAAATGACCTGAAGTTATCCTCATAATGTTTTATGCACTGTTGAAGTTTCTCAGAAAACAGTATGACTACAGTCATTATCAGCCTCACGCATTAATATGTAATATGCAAATACTAAATTAATCTGAGACGCACCCGCTCGAGTCTGGGAGTGACATTTAACTTCAGACAGATCAGATGAATTTGTTTTCCATGTTTGAGTTATAGTTTAGATTCAAATTCAAAGTAATGGTCTTAATAGGTGTGTGTGTCTGTGTTACCGTATTATCTTTAATTAGGGAATGTTGCATGGGGTACAACCTGCTCAGCGTTGTGTAATTTAGATAAGTATGATGGGGTTTCTCGTTCCTAATCGGGCTGGGCTGTTGGCCCAGCATCAGCCCCATGACAGCAAAGGAATGCAGTGAACCTAAGGCTCTGTCAAACCTCAGAGGCCCTCGGCTCGCTAGCAGTGGTTAGATTGGCACTCTTCACAACCTAAATCAAGACAGAGGGATTTGGAAAGAGAAAACAATCTCATTATTCCACCCTCACAAGTGCGTGAGCTGCAATCCAAAACATGTAGTGGCAAGACAAAGTGCACAGAGTGCAAATGTCCACAGGTAATTTGACAGCTACTATACTTGTAACATAATCCCTATGTTAATTTTGTTTTTCTGTCAGACTTCATTCCTAGATCTCAGCCTGTGTTTTGATACTTTTGTTTTGGTTTGGGGTTTTTTTTTGCTTCTCGTAGTGTTAAACTATGTCCTGCCTATGAGTAGATGGGTAGGATAAGGTATTCATATCTCCTGAGGAGAGGTGAAGAGGAGATCTTTTAATAGAGCTCTTACAAGTCACTAAAAAGTCTTAGAAAGTGTGAAATGACAATTTTTCAAAAGGTCCTCAGAATATCTGAAATTTGCCATCAATTTATGGTAGGTGTTAAATTTGCAGCGTAAAGAAACATAATCAATCTGATTATCATTAAGTTTTACTAAGTGTTGCAGTTTTATGTCACTTGGTTATTATTCTTCCCCTGCACTTAACTAGGCAGGTAGATAACAATCGTCACACAAATAAAAACCACACCGTTGTTCTTTTGTGGTCGTTTATGTCCAGTTGGATACATAGCATGGATTTTGATGAAAGAATAAATTGTAAAACTGTAAATAAGACACAAAATATCATGTGTGATCTGATATGCGTAAACATTCTTTTACAATTAGAAAATGCTGTGACCTTTAAGCATCATAGGCTATACTTCCTTACCATATAAATTGAAGCACAACGAAATAAGCTAATGACTAATTAGCATCTAGGCTAATGTCTGATAAAGCACATCTTTAGGTGAACTCACTCGTACAAACTATTACAAGCAACTCATGGCAGCTAGTGCCAAACACACAATAGTAAAATACAACATTACTGCCAACTAACAGACTGTGTTGGCTTAAAAGGTAGCAAAGGCAGGCAGGAAGTAGCAAGAGGTGCTATTCCGGTAGGATGTCAACTAAAACGGACAGTGTAAAAATGCCCCAAAAACAAATAAAGACACTATGAACCTATTTAACACCACATGATATCTAGGGCGACTCTTGGGGATCATTCACATGTATTTGCGACATGCTTATGGACTACATGTAAAACACTCACAAGCCTAGTCTGAGCTGGTGAGATGTGTGTCAGCTGCCTCTGACCTATCCTCATATAAAATGCCAAATATTTGTTTTGCTTTTTGGTGCTCCAAGAAATCACGACAAGGGTTTTATAAGGTAGAACATATTTTGCTGTTACATGCATGATTAATATGATATATCACAAAAGTTCATCTTTTTTTTAGGCTGGCCATCCTGACATTAAATTAAGCTATTAATGGTTGACCTGATTAGTTAACTTATGTAAGCAAGTACCTATATTGAAAAGAAAAATGCACTGTTTCTAAGATTGTATTAAATTGTAGATGAAGTTGGAGGCATTCAAAAAGGTCGACGCTGAGGTATATTCCGTATGTCCTAACATCTAACACAGGTAGATATTAGTGTTCATGTTGCTATGTTTGGAAATGAAATCAGTTAAATTCCACCTAAAATCCAACAAACATGGGAGCTGAATGCAGTTTCACATGTCTCATCTGAACTCACCTTTGTTCTTCTCTGTTTGTGCTCAGGCCGAGGAGATTGTGCGCAGGGAGCTGGAGAAGAAGGAGACACCTAGTCTGTACTGTCTACTAGGAGACATCTTGAGGGAGTATCAGTATTACGACCGTGCATGGGAGCTGTCAGGTCAGCGCAGCGCCAGAGCTATGCGCTCCAAAGCCCTGCTACACCTCCGCCACAAGGAGTTCCAGCAGTGCGTCAACTGCTTTGAGCAGTCGCTCAAAATCAACAGCATGCAGGTACAAGCAAATCATCATTCTCTCACATTTGTCTATAAAGTTTAATAATAATTTACTTTTTTAAACTTTTTTCATGTTCAGCAGTGCACAAGAATGAATTCTTTTCTCAACTGTACTAAAAGTTGAGTGTGCCAGTGATCACTATTACATGTGTAAGAATGGGTCAGACCTACAGGTGGTTAAAATGCTGGGCCCGTTCTGTAGTCTCTACACTGGTCCCTGTTCACCTTTCAGTGTTTTCCACAGATTTAGTTTGGCTGAGGTGTAAATTCAGTGAGTCTAGAATCCTGCAGATGAATTTCAACTCCACCATCCTGGACTGCGGTTGGTGACTGTATTCCTGTTAAGGAGGCTGTTAGAGTGCAATGCAAGTGGTGACATAACAGAAGTTTTGTACTAGTTGCAGTCCAACTCAGTAAAGTATGTCTAACTGCTAGCACAAGATCTTCTTTGATCTGAAGGATGTCAAAGAACACTACAACCTAGTGATCCAGCTGGTGGGGAAACACTGCCTGAAACCTTTGAGCAGTGGAACTGGATAATAGACATGTACAAGGTCACCATTATACAGCCATGCGTTACCTAGTTAGAGTAAGCATGGCACGAGCCACAGGCACAGCAACCAGATTTAGTCATGAATTTAATTTGTTCAGAATGTAGTTACATGTTCAGATTTTTAGACATCAGGTACAAGATACAAGACGATTAAATCCATCAGTGTAATCAGTGTAAGTGGGATCACTGATATTTAATTAAAACACCTCTATGCATAAGTACATATTAACAGAGCAGCTGGGATAGATTCTCAGCCTGGTCAGGATTTTAATCTTTCTTTGCTTTGTTAACACACACTTTTTGAAGTCATTTCAGGGAAATATCTATGCCTTAATTTAACACTTCAATACAAACCTTTTGTGTGCATGTGCGTGTGTATGTGTGTGTGCACAGCTCGGTGTGTGGTTTTCTCTTGGTTGTGCCTACTTTGCCCTGGAGGGCTATGAGGGAGCTGCTAAGGCTTTCCAGAGGTGTGTGGGACTGGAGCCAGACGTGAGTACCTACACACACAGTCTCTTTCTTTTTAGGAACACTCTTTGACATAATGTCTTTTCTCCAAGTCCATCCTTAGTTTTAAAGGCCAAGTAATGTGGGTTTGCTTGAGGCTGCTAGTGCATGAAGATTTTTTTTTAACACAAATAAATCATGCAGTTTATTTCAGTAATGTCCAAAGCATCAGCTACAGCTTTAAGATAAGATAAGATAAGATAACCTTTATTAGTCCCACACGTGGGAAATTTGTTTTGTCACAGCAGGAAGTGGACAGTGCAAAAGTTATGAGGCAAAAATTAGAATACAATAAGAATAAATACAGTACACAACTGTACAGAATAGAATAAAATACTATATACAGTAGAATACAATAAAATAAATATACAATAAGATAAAAATAGAATACAAATACAAATACTATATACAACTGAGTAATTGTATATATACTGCATCTTTCACTTTTGGGAACTGGACAAAGTCACAGGGAGGCAAATCTGGCAGGTGGTTCATAGTGGTTGTGTTGGTGTGGGCGACACCACAGGTTGGCATGTACCACTGTACAGTGGACATTGCCACTGTAACAGCACCTATTTGTTTTGAGCTCCACATTTTGAAACCTCAGCAGCCTTAGTGTTTTGTCCTAATGCTGGTAAGCTTGCAGGACTGACAGACTAATAAAATACTCAAATTTCACTTCTTGGATGGTTGTACCAAGCAGAGGGCCATATTAAATTACATATTACATAACATTATTTTAGTGACAGACATAGAGATGTCAAGTACAGTGAGTAGAACAAGTAGATGTGAAGCTAGTAGACAACTATCAACTACTGTTGCATGTGTATAGATGTCAAAGGAACTACATGGCTCACTTTACGCCTTGCGTAATGGAAAAAGGGCACCCTGCAGACAACTGTTACGAAGGGGAGATTTTCTGTAGACCACTGGAAAAAATGATTTAAACAGGCTGTAAACATGCTTTTTAATGAAGTGAAGTTTGTGGGAGTCTCTAGACAGCCTGAAGTGCTAACTGAGCTAACGCAGTTTGTGGCAGTTGTGATTATTTTTCAGTCTCGGAGGTTGTTTCTGCTTGGTCCTCCCAAAGTGAACGTTTCAATAAATTTATGTTCATAGCACACAGTTAGTGCACAGCAAATATATAGACGCTAGCCGTCTCTCGTTTCAACACACCATTTCATTTGGTGAGGGTTTAATAGTCACTCCAGCTTTTCTTTATGTGCATAAACCTGAAAATTGTGTCTTGTAGGATTTTTTTGTTATTCTTTACTTACTTTTCCCCACTGTCTTCTTTCCCTCACTGACCTGTGTCTCGCCCAACCCCCTACCCCACCTTCATCCAGAATGCAGAAGCATGGAACAACCTTTCTACAGCTTACATTCGCCTCCAAATGAAGTGAGTATGAGTGTAGTGCATATTGGAAACTTGTTGGTGTAAGAACGTGTGTGCCAGGTAATAGAATGGGTTGACTTTTGTCCAATAGGATTTCTGCCGTAAGCAGCAAAGTGTTTGAAACCATCCACACCCAGCAGACTGGAAAACGCTCCAGTAGTCTTTCAAAATAACTTGGGCAGGATAAATGTGCCCAAAGGTGATGATGACAGAAAGGTCAGAGGTCAACTGCATCTAAGTTTGTCCATATCTCTCTAAATTGCTATTGCTGGTATTTAGTTTCTAAAACAGAATGACATACACCTCCATGTAGTGGATTTTACCACCCACCTTAGTTATCTCTTCAGATTTCTAAACTACAGTCTCTGGGAGCATTCCTAAGGTTCTTCCTTATGCTTCTTATTTTACACTAGTCTTCTTTCAATATGATGCTGGATGTCCACCTTATTGAAACTACAATGTGCAGACTGATTACAAAACGTGCTCAACGTACTCTACTGGTCAAAAGTTTTAGAACACACCCCATTTTTCCATTTTTTTTATTGAAAATTATGCAGTTTGATGCCTCATTCCACTCTGAAATGAAAGCACAATACAAATAATCAATTGGAATTGTCAAAGAAATCATGGAATCAAAATGTATCTTAAACTTCTCAAAGTAGCCACCTTTGGCAGATATAACAGCTGAACACACCCGGGCATTCTTTCTACAATAGAAATCAAATATTGTTCAGAAAGTTCTTCTCATATCCGTTTCCAGTTTCTATAAATGTGTGACACTTGTAGGTTGCTTTGCTATCACCCTTCTGTCCAGTTCATCCCAAACCAGCTCGATGGGGTTTAAGTCTGGAGACTGTGCTGGCCACTCCATGTTTTCAAGCTTACCATCTTGTTCTTCTGAGGTAGTTCTGGCACAGCTTGGATGTACGTTTTGGGTCATTATCTTGCTGTAGCATGAACCCCTGACCAGCTAGGCAGATCAGAGGGTTTTGCATGGTGCTGCAGAATGCTGTGTTAGAACAACACACTTCCTCCTCCATGTTTGACAGTTGATGCCACACAGTATGGAGCCATCCCTTCGCCTACAGAGATCCTGCGTGAAGAACCGAAGATTTCAAATTTTGATTCATCAGTGCATAATACCTTCTCCAGACTTCAGTAGTCCTATGGCGGTGTTCCATGGCCCAGCCAAGCCTCTTTGTCTTATTCTGACAAAGAGACAAACCTGCAGCTCAAAGTCTTCTCTTCACAGTTAAAACTGAGACTAAGCTGTACTTGAAGCCATTGTCCTGTGAACTCTCAGAAACGTGTCCTCAGATTCATTTGTGGCGTTGGGTCTGCCAGACCTCTTCCTGTCAGAGTTTCTGAGTCCCTTTTGATGGTGAAGGAAACTGTGCTCACTGACATCTTGACTTTATTTGTGATTTCTCTGTAGGAACGGACTACATTTTTAAGTGTCATGATGGTCTGTCTCTCTTCCATTGTTAATTACCTTTCTCTCAACATTTTTGTAGCAACACACTACTTTCTGTAGTCAATACTGTTCAACTGATGCTCACGAGGCTATGGCACCACAGTGTGTTCCAACACTGCTTTTATGCAGACAGAGGGGGCTGTAAGTAATCCAGAAAAGTTGGAACACCAATAGGAATTAGTAGCCTTTGTAAAGACAAAAGGCAGATGCTGTGTAGATTAAAGTAATGTTACTGTCAATATGAGAAATGGTCTGTCAAATTCTATTAACAGGTCGGGGTTCGAATCCAGAACATGGTCCAGTTATTGTGACCTAGGTTCTATTATAGCCACAAGTCATTACATTTTGATAGTGAGCCATATTTATTAGAACTCAAAGTCAATCATAACGAAAGCAAATGGTAGATAAGACTCAGGGGAACGAGGCAAAAATGACAAATGAATGACCAGAAAGACAAAATGTCTTCAGACTGATGCTGATACTGCACTCTGTTGCCCACTGAGGTGGAAAACTTGGAAAATCTCCACATGTCCATGGATGAGAATAATGCCAGTCAGGGTTTCTGCTGCTGGGTTTCAGAACATTTTTGAGAATATGATCTGACACCTGATGCTTACGAAGCTTACAAGTACCAATCACAGGGAAACGGATAAAGGAAATGCTATGCATTTGTTCCGGTAAGGTTAGCATAAAGTTATGCATTAGACTCTGCCAGGCTCATGACAGGACAACACACTGAGTCACACTGTACAAAGAAAAAGAAATACAAAATGAATACAGTTTTGTCAGCTTAAAAAAATCAGCGATTTAACTGGAAAGTTGTTTAATGTTAAGACCAGTCTTACGAATGGACTTGAACCTTCCCAACTTAGGCATTGTAACATGAATGCACATATGGGTAAAGCTTTTAATTAATTCAACTAACATGCATGTCATTGGGCTTGAATGGAAGGTCAATTAGTGGTCAAACAGTACAGATTAGATGCTGAGTTGTGGTGCAACACAAACTGAAAGTGCAGAGATGGCGCTTCAGTAAGTTCAGAGAGATATTTCAGACAGTAGTTCATTTTAATTTTAGTTTTATTTATACAGCAACAAACCAAAGCAACCGTTGCCTCAAGACCCCTTATATTGTAAGGTAGAGACCCTATATAACAGCGGTTCCCAACCTTTTTTGCGCCACGGACTGGTTTATGTCCGACAATATTTTCACAGACCGGCCTTCAAGGTGTCGTGGATAAATACAACAAAATAAAACCAGTACCGGTACCAAAAACAAGAAAATTTATTCATAACACACGTGAAAAGAACCAGGAGAAACCAAGTTATTGATAAAAACGATATAAAATAAAGATAAAAAACGATAAAAACCCCAAAAAACATAAATTTCACACCCGAGCCTCACCTCTCGCAGCCTGGTACTAAACGACTCACAGACCGGTACCAGTCCATGGCCCGAGGGTTGGGGACCGCTGCTATATAATACAGAGAAAACCCCAACAGTTACGCAAACCTCTTTGAGCAAGCACCTGGCAACAGTGGTAAGGAAAAAAATCCCTTTCAACAGGAAGAAACCTCTGGCAGATGAGGGAGGGGCGGCCATCTGCAGATGTTATGAGAGACACAACAAAAGAACACACTGTGGACAGCAGTGAAAAGCCTTCTCTTGACATTAAAAAGCTACTGGATATATTAAAGAGGGTCATTTCTGTGGCTGATAGTTTGGGACAAGAGTGTTTTTGCAGCCTTGTGGCATAAAGAGTTTCCCTTTCAGGAAAAGAGTATTTAAATGAATCAGTTGTACTGAATTTACTGCATATTGCATAAAATCTGTGAACAAAAATCACGTCTTATGCCTGTTGTAGTTGTGATAGTTACTACTAGGAGTGTTGGTTTTTAGTAGAGGGAGATGTTTTCTGAATAAGTGTGCAGTCTGCACTTGGTGTGCTTTGCAGCTCAAAAGTTTGTATCGCCAAAACTTGCTCTGTCCTAAAGCTCTTCACTTAGTCATCATGCTGAGGTTTTAGGGGGAAACCCTAATTATTGCTCCTCAATATACGGAGACTTTCATGAAACAGAGCAGAAGTTAACTGTTTTTGTTATCAGCAGTAACTGCTTTAAAACGGAGGCTGTTGTTCATCTGTAGTTAGTGTAGACAGTCCTCAGCTGGTGTCAGTGTCTGCTTACTGTGGAGGACGCTCCGTGAAAGTTTTACAGCCCCGTTCTCTTTGATGACAGAAGGAGGCCGTTGAGTTGTTGAAGATAACCTGAATTTTTCTGTTGATAAGCACAGCTGTTTCTTTCTAATTATCCCACTGCATGCGAACTGTGAGCTTCTTTTTGATCTAGCTTCATCATTAAATCTGTGTGGGGGGGAAACAGCTTAGTGGAATGGAATTTATTAATACTTAACCATTGTCTGTCTTCCCTAGTGTCTACAAAAGGAATTTAGACCAAAGTAATTCTGAATTGAACTGTATGACAAACTTGCCATTACAGATGAGTGAAGTCGCTCTCATTCAGGGTGTCCCATGCTGTCATTTAGTCATTCAGAAGTAAATCCAGTGCTTTCTTAAGCTTTGCTGTACAATAGTATCTTGCCTGTCCCAGTTTACAGTCATCTCTGCCTGCCTGCTGAGACAGTCTTCACAGCAGTCGTTACAAGCATCAGAACTTCCCAGAACTTTGAACACTGTCTGGATGGTTACAGATATTTATTTATGTATTTATAATGTACAGATAAACAAACAATAAAAATACTCCAAATAAGCAGTTTTGAAATGAACCAAGCCTAGAACTTCCTAGAACTCTGTTCAACACATTTATTGATCTACTTCTAACTTGTCTCTCCTTTTTGTCATTGGCAGAAATAAGGCTTTTCGAACCCTGCAGGAAGCCCTTAAGTGTAATTACGAACACTGGCAGATCTGGGAGAACTTCATTGTTGTTAGCACTGACATCGGAGATTTTGCTGAAGCCATCAAGGCATACCACCGTCTTATGGACCTGAGGGAGAACTACAAGGACATCCAGGTACGTGACTGCACTTAGTCTCTTCTTTTGTTCCATGTAGAATGGGGAAACATTTATTCTAGGCTGCGTGTCTAATGAGACACAGCTTGGCAAACAATAAACTATACCTGGCTGGATAAAGCTTCTCTTCTATGTCTCCTGAAATCTGTTAGGTTTAGCTCACCATGGTCAAAAATAACAAATAAAAATGTCTGACTTGAACACATGAGACAGAGCTGTGAAGCAGGAATTGGTCCCTTTGCTCTCTGTATTTCTTTCACCTTGCAGTGCTCCTAATAAGTTGCACCAATTAACTGACTTTCTGCAAATGAAGCTTTGTCTGTGTTGAAAGGAAGAACTTTTGAAACAAAAGATATACATTTCTCTAAATTCTGGAATACTTGGCTCAAGTTCAGCGTTTTGGCTTTATCCACCTCTTCTACTCTGTGCAAAGTCTCAGAGCTTTGTGAGACGGGGAAACGTGATCTGTTGTCCAATCACAACACACCGAGCAGGTGAAACTGTTAATCTTTATCACTGTGGTCACTCATGCCGAGTCATTTAGAAACTCTGAAGGAAAAGCCTCTTGTAGTCACAGCTCATTAATTCCACAGCAACTGATGCATTCTAAATAAGAAATTAACCATCAGCTTTGAATAAACAAGGCGAGACAGCCAGTGGTAGTATTTCCATTGTTAATGGTCTGCTTCAGCCCTGCAGTCATTTTACTCACGTAGTTTTGAGCAATTAACTTTGAAGAAGACGTCTTCCAGCCTAATGGGAATGGATAAAATCACAGCTCTGACTCAGAGATCCTGTGGGCCTCGGAATTAAATATACAAACAGAGTCACATTTATCCCACAATACATGATCTTCTTCTTTTCTCTCTTTTGTTGTGTCCCTCTTTGTCTTCTCTGTTTCAAACAACCAAAATGGTCATTTATGCAGGTTGTGTCCTGGTCAGCCTCTTCAATAAGGTTGGAAGATGTAAAAGCACACCGGTTGAAAAGGTCAGCAGCAGCAGCTTCAGAGCAGCTCACTCGGTCTTTAGTTCTCTGCTTGCCTCCTCCTCATTTTTAAATATCTTCTCAGAACACAGTTTTCTTGAACAGTTTATTAATGGCCGACAATCTCCTACAGACAACCTAACACCAAAGCCCTTTCACGGAAAAGAGCATGAAATTGCACATTTAATAAGGAGTGCTGTAAAAGGAGTGTTTAGTAATATCAACTGTGACTAATGATAGCTCAGTCACACTAGAGTGAGAACAAGACTACAACCTCCTTGCAACTAGGAAAAATTGGGAATTGTATTTTTTTTAAAATATCACGCAACAGATTGCAAGTAGTCATAGCAACCACTTTTTTGTGTGTTAGAATTCGGTCCCCGAACAGCTGCAGTCTGACTCAGACTCCAGGCTTCTACAACGATGGCCCAAAGCTCTTCCTTGAATCTTGCCTGCCTTTTGTTCTGTTCTCTGTCTAGATAACCCCACACTGCTCCAATAATGTTGAGATTCAGGCTCTGCAAAGGCCAGCCGCGACTGGCCCACTGCCCACATGTGTGTTCAACTTTGTTTTAAATCCAGGTCAATCTGTTTGACCTGGATTACAGATGGTACTGGTGGATCAGAATCTCACTGTACTTTTCTGTGTTTATAATTCAGTGAACATAGAACTTGTTCGATTTTGACAAGCTCGCCATTACCACTGCCTGAAGTGCTGCACCAAACCTTGACAGAAGCTCCACTGTGTTTCACAGATGGCTGCTGCTTTTGATATTCAGTCCAGTTCCTGTGTAATTTGGCATACACCTGCCTGTCCTGATTGTTTCCCTTCCTTAAGAGTAGCTTCTGACAGCCATCCCTCTTCATTTGTGGCATTTTCAACTTCTGGCTTTTTTCCTGCTTTAATCCTCTACTCGATCTTTTTTCTTGTTAAATTATTCCAATTAATTCAAGGTGCTTTTTATGTAATAAAAACATTTGAATAATAAAAGCAAATAAGGCTTTAAAGGGTAAAGTTCAGAAACCAATGGATGATGTTGCAGTCTTCTGTATTTTGTATAATGTAGATGTCAAGCTCGTGCAGATCATCATCAAGGGAACGCAATTAAAACCAGTCCAAAGTCAGGTGCCGCTGACTTTGGACTGGGTCATTTCAACAGCACTAGCGATGTTGAATGCCGATTTGCGACAGCCAGGCCCGTGTGTGCTGGCGTGTATGAGATGATTAAATATTTTTATATGACTACTTTAATAAAATGTAGTACTGTCCCCTAAGTTCATCACCGAAAAGTCTGTCAAAGCTTGAAAGTCTGTACTTTAAATAGCTGTTCTATTTTTACCCGTCTGTTTTTACTTCGATTCACCTTAAAATGCTGCTTTGCATAACTGGTGGTGACAGACTGTTAATTTCATTAGATCACAGTAACAAATTTAGAAGCAACGTTTTTGCCTTATTTCATTTTATGTGCTTTTTGTGTTAGTTTTTCATCGCAGGCTCAGAAGGTGGGAGGGGCCACCAAGGATTGCTGTCCTCTGGAATGTGGAAAGGGCTACTGACAGAGGAGCTGGTGGTCACATGACTCAGCTTTTGTGCCTCATGGGGTTAAATGGGGGATATAGACGCACATGCATTCATTTCCTTACAGTTACTATGCACAGGGAGGAGACTTTCTTTTCCATTTTTGGGTAGAAATGAACTTCCTAGAAACTCTTTGCCTGTTATCCATGTTTTTCTTGTTTTCTCTCAACACAGAAATTAGTACTTTTCCACCTAATTTAACACCCTGACACTTCAACAGGAATCTTAATCGATTCATTCAGTTTTTTCCTTTAAATATCACTTTTCACCAGAGTGATAAATACCAAAATACAAAACTAATACTTACAGATGTACTTGCACTGCCACATTCACAAGAATTCACTGGAAAATCCCATCAAACAGACTGAACTACAGATTACCCTCTTAAAATCACACTTAGTGTGTTGGAGTTTGAACAGATGTAGAGGATGTGTCCGTCAGCACACCTCTGAGGTGTTTTGCAGGATGTCTAACATGATGTTACAGTCTCTGCTCCATAGCCTTGCAGTTGATTTATCTTAAATGTGACTGCAGTGCAACCTGGCAGATGGTTCACTAACTGGTGGGGGTTGGGGAACTGGTACATGGCAGAAATAAATGGTAAATGGTCTGTATTTGTGTAGCGCTTTACTTAGTGCCTAAGGACCCCAAAGCGCTTTACACATCCAGTCATCCACCCATTCACACACACGTGATGGCAGCTACATTGTAGCCACAGCCACCCTGGGGCGCACTGACAGAGGCGAGGCTGCCGGACACTGGCGCCACCGGGCCCTCTGACCACCACCAGTAGGCAACGGGTGAAGTGTCTTGCCCAAGGACACAACAACTGAGACTGTCGGAGCTGGGGCTCGAACCGGCAACCTTCTGACACACAGTGTCTGTAAAGACAAAAGGCAGATGCTGTGTAGATTAAAGTAATGTTACTGTCAATATGAGAAATGGTCTGTCAAATTCTATTAACAGGTCGGGGTTCGAATCCAGAACATGGTCCAGTTATTGTGACCTAGGTTCTATTATAGCCACAAGTCATTACATTTTGATAGTGAGCCATATTTATTAGAACTCAAAGTCAATCATAACGAAAGCAAATGGTAGATAAGACTCAGGGGAACGAGGCAAAAATGACAAATGAATGACCAGAAAGACAAAATGTCTTCAGACTGATGCTGATACTGCACTCTGTTGCCCACTGAGGTGGAAAACTTGGAAAATCTCCACATGTCCATGGATGAGAATAATGCCAGTCAGGGTTTCTGCTGCTGGGTTTCAGAACATTTTTGAGAATATGATCTGACACCTGATGCTTACGAAGCTTACGAGTGCCAATCACAGGGAAACGGATAAAGGAAATGCTATGCATTTGTTCCGGTAAGGTTAGCATAAAGTTATGCATTAGACTCTGCCAGGCTCATGACAGGACAACACACTGAGTCACACTGTACAAAGAAAAAGAAATACAAAATGAATACAGTTTTGTCAGCTTAAAAAAATCAGGGGCTGAGTTGTGGTGCAACACAAACTACAGTGCAGAGATGGCGCTTCAGTAAGGTCAGAGAGATATATCAGACAGTGTTTGATTTTAATTTTAGTTTTATTCATACAGCAACAAACCAAAGCAACCGTTAGGTAAAGACCCCACAGGGTTTTTACCTAACGGTTGTGGGGATAGGTTAATTGATTATTCTAAATTGCCCATAGGTGTGAATGTGAGTGCGAATGGTTGTCTGTCTCTGTGTGTTGGCCCTGCGACAGACTGGCGACCTGTCCAGGGTGGACCCCGCCTTTCGCCCTATGACAGCTGGGATAGGCTCCAGCGCCCCCCGCGACCCTGAAAAGGATAAGCGGAAGCGAATGGATGGATGGTAGATGTATATACAGAGAAAACCCTAAACAATTAGACAAAATGCCTATAAGCAAGCACTTGATGCTGGAAAGGAAACACTCTTTTAACAGCAAGAAATCTACAGCAGAATGTGCTTCATGGGGTTAAATGGGGGCTATAGTTGCACATGCATTCATTTCCTTACAGTTACTGTTCACAGGGAGGAGATTTTCTTTTCCATTTTTGGATAGAACTTGAAATGAACTTCCTAGAAACTTTTTGCCTGTTATTCTTGTTTTCTCTCAACACAGAAATTAGTACTATTGCACCTAATTTCACACCCTGACACTTCAACACGAATCTTAATCCCTTTTAAAAGCAAGAAATCTGCGACAGAACCAGGCTTAATCAATTTCAAGTCAGTTTTTATCTAGAAAGCCCCAAACATTCACCTCAAGGCTCTTATTATTGTAAGGTAAGGCTCTACATGCAAAGTGGTACCGGTACATTAACGGGTGCAGCAACACAAATCAGTAAATCATATCTTCCATGATAGCCACCGCCAAGTTTATTGCAAAGTAACTGATGGAGGATTCAGGGTCACCTCATCCAACCCTAACTATTTAACAAAAGGAGCATTTTAAGCCTACCGTAATCTTAAAAGTAGAGAAGGTGTCTGTCTCCTGAATCCAAACTGCTTCCACAGAAAAGGGGTACCATTCTCCTTTTATATACTCATAAGCCTGCAGTCTCAGAGCAAAGTGCTCTAATGGGTTGATACGGTATTATAAAAGTGTTTAAGATAAGATGGGACCTGACCATGACAGCTATTGAAACCTTTAATCTCCTCATGTTTGTATATGTCCAGCTGATGGCTTTTGTCCTTACCACCTAAAAGTTTGCTTGTTGTAAAGTCAACATGTGATGCCTAATGTCGGTACTAATTTTGACTTTGGCTCCTGGCTAGCCATAAGATTTACACCAAGTCATACCAAGAAGGCGGCTTAAACCTAGATGTTGCAACAGACTTAGAATGACTTAAAAAGTCATGATTGGCTTAGTTTATGATCAGAGCGAAACTCTATTGGTGCAATTGGCCTCTGATTACTCATCTGTGTTCCAATAGTAAGCTTAAGTATTACATGCAGAAGTTTCCTTCCTTGTGTTATTTGTTTTTCATTTATTTATTTTTTGACTGTATTATTTATTTATTGTACTAATAACTGTACTAACTGTGGCAAACTGGCATAATTATGAGCAGACTAGTAACTCTATTTATTTAAAGACTTCTGTAATACCATCACAAATTCAAGTTTAAAAATAAAAACTGAAAACCACATTTCCCATAAGCCCATTATTTTCCATCCAGCCTCTCAGTCATTGGGGTTTTAATGGTCTTGAGCAACGTTGCTGGTTGGATTAACAGTGATTAAGGTTGTAGCAACACATTTAAATCAGTAAATCAGATCTTCCATGATGATGTTTAAACTTGTTTTTTTCCCCATCAGATTCTGCAGATCTTGGTGAAAGCAGTTGTTGAGAACTTGACAGACAACCAAGGTGAGCAGGCAGGAGCCCTCCAGTCCAAACTGAAGGAGCTCCTAGGTCGGGTCAGTTCTCGCCACAGCAGTGACGCTGAGATATGGCGACAGTATGCCCTGCTGTATGGTGACGGCCACAGCTCCAACCCAGAAAACGACGACAAGGTCAGTAACATGCACTCGCATGTCTTTGTTTGTTTGTTTGTTTGTTTTTGTTGTGTTTTTATTCTAACAAGTCTTGAATCTGCCATCTTCCACTTTACAACTATACAAAGGGTCAGACCAGCTCTTCATTCAAAGCATGTGATTCCAAACGGTTTGTTTCCTAACAGGTAATGCAGAAATCTGCAGGAAACAACTTCACATACAAGTTCATTTTCATCTGCCTCTTGTTTATATAAAAAACCAAAGTAAAGGCACCTAAACATTAATAAAAACTAAATGCACTTAAATCAGTGGTGTGCGGTGACTTTTACAGAAAGATAATCCTCAACACAAACATTTGTCATCATCTTAGATAAATTTGATCAAATTAAAGCATACCATTTGTTTTTCTTTCTTTAGCTTACATTATAAAACACCTTGAGGCAACTGTTGTTGTGATTTGGTGCTATATAAATTAGAGATGGCACGATACCACTTTTTTATGTCCGATACCGATATCATAAATTTGGATATCTGCCGATACCGATATGAATCCAATATAGTGTGTTTTAATCAATAAAACTGTTTTTTTAATATCTTGCTGCTTTTTGTATAAGTTCATACTCAAGTTTAAATAAACAACAACACTAAAGCTATTCTGTTATACCTGTATGTAAAAAATACACTGCACCCAAAATATTTCATAGTTCAGCAACACTGATCAATCTAATAAACTTAAACCTACTCCATCCTCCCTATTCTGGTATTTTAAAGAGTAAGCAACCTAACTAATAGGGTTCTAAAACTCCCAGAAAAAAAATAAAAAATAGGGAACCCCCCACCCTCCACCTCATGATGCTTAATCGACGTAATCAACTTTAATTTGATGCAGTGTGAAAAAATCACAGAAATAAAATTTTCAAATAAATTCAAATTTAACAAAGCAACTATGAACCTTCCCAAAGGAAAAAGTACTATAGCTTACTAGGGTATATTAGACTTAATAGTTACTATATACAGTAATGGACTTCTATACATTTTACATCAGATTAAAACTTTGGGTGTAAGATTCGGATAATTATTTATTAAAAGCTCGACATTTTAAATGAGAATAAGAAAGAAAAGTATGTCTTTGTGCCCCCTTTTCCCTGTTCATGCCCTATCGGCCCCCCTGGCTAAACTTTGCTAGACAGTTACCGGCCGTCAGCTACGTAGAAAAAGATCCTGGTGTAGAAAGTAATATTAAATAAATTCTAACAACAGCTTATCAAGCTTAAACGTGCTGCTGTTGTTCAGCCGCTGGTTTCCTCTTTCCGGTGCAAAGTGGGCGATAAACAAACAAAGAGACGGACTCGCGACAGAAAAGCCGATCAGCTGATCATTGATCAGTTTCACATGGAAGTAGCAGCAGGAGAGGGAGGGAGAGAGAAGAGGCAGTCGCTCCATGTATCTGTTGTTAAGCTTAACGTGGAAATGCTTTACAAACATTCAGAGATGAACTTACACATTTGCTTTATTCCTCCCTGTGAGATAACTTCCTCTGAGATGAACTGCTGGTTTGGTAGCGAGGCTACAAATACACACAGCCGCTCTATCATGTGAGCACACTGCTCCGACGTGCTACGGTTATGAGCAAAGTTACGCCATGTCGCAAGTTTTTTGATGTGCTTTTTTGATATTTAATGGATCGGATTACATTTTTTATTTCTCTCCGATATCCGATCCAGTAATTTACGTCAGTATCGGACCGATACGTAATATCGGAGCGGTCCACCTCTAATATAAATACATTGTATTGAATTACATTTGTGCCTTTCAGCACTCTGCTTAGACATCTTCAGCTTTCTGCACTCCTTCCTGACTAAAGAATTGTAAATTCTTATTCTTTAAATCATATGTCAATCGTTTAATCTTTTAAGGACCACACATCTCTGGGGGGGGGAGGTTGTTGCTGAGCTCAGAAACAGGCTAAATCTTGATTTTGAAATGTACATTAATCATAAAAATCAGCTAAATTAAAAGGCTTGAGCATTGTGTGGCGTGTATGTGCAAATCATTAGAAAAAAGCTACTGCTCTCTCAGTTTGTCCAGTTCCAGTCATTAACAAAGTGAGATGAACACACCCATAAATGGAGACTGCCACAGTATATATCAGTATGAAACAAGCGCAGCTTTCAGCAACAATAGCCTGTTGTCCTTTACATTCATGCCACAAGATCAGAGTAATATAAAGGATAGATGCAGACTGGTGTGGAGCTTTTTTTTTTTCAATTTTTATTTATACTTAAATTTATTTTGTTTTACAAAATGAAATAATACAAGGTTCCTTGTACTAACAGAATGCCACTGACTGATGTAATATACCGCATAAAACACATTTGAACATTAAAATAACATTTACAAACCTCATGTGGTGGAAAAATGTTACCATGATGGCCTCACAAGTCAAATCTGTAGTGTAATCCCTGTTGTTTAACTTTGCTGCTTGAATCATGTATTTAGTTGAGCCACACAAAGTGGCAATAGATGGCTTTGAAAACACCCGTTTGTAGGTTTGGATGCCTAATGATCCAGTGGATATTTGGCTAACAGAAGGTCTCTTATAAATCCTCTATCCGGTTGTTCAGTCTGACGTCACTAGCCGTGTCTGGG